TGTGCAAATAGACGTTTGTCGTAAAATTTACAATATATGCAACCTAGAACATTGTCATATTTGAACACTATTTGAAAGAAGTAATGGTGGCAACCCAACAAAGATATGTATAAAACGAATGTTAGTGCTAATATACATTTTCCGATCAATCTTATTGTGCTTCAAGCTGCTGCCTTATTCTGATTCCCTAGTTTCTCAGGAACCCAAGTTACAATATAAGCAGCGAAGACTCGCTTTACATGGACAGACAAACACATCACTTAAAAACAAGTTAGGAAATCAGCATCGATGACTGCAATGGAATAGCAACATCAACAGACTCCCTGGAAAGCTGCTGCTCGCACCACAGCTGGCTGTGTTGCGTCACCGTGGTTTCAACCCTCACAGAGGGTTACCAACCAACTCACTGAATCTGTGTGTGTTGGTGGCCAGCTGGTGGGTGCTGAAATGAGAGATGATTAGAAATGAAAAGATAACTGCAAATTAAGTGACTGAGTGTTGATTGAATGAGTAAATGGCTGAGTGTGTGAATCTTGCTCTTGTTAGGTTTTCTCTGTTCTTTAGTGTCCCATCATAGCATTTCAACTAATGATTATCGTTTATTATCTTAAATAGATGGAACAATATAGATGGATAGCATTGGGAACCTACTGGGATGTCTGCATGACTTTATAGTCTTGGCAAGTGAAGAAACACATCGCTGTTGAAAATGTGTTTATTCTGGAATATTTTCTTTCTGCATATTATGTGTTTGATAAGTGGTCGATATGGTGCTAAGGGTTGGTAACACTTTCAAACCCCCCAAAATGGTCCCATTAAGAGCCATCATGTCATCATCCAAAAAATAAGACACTGACCCCCCACCTCTCAGTTTGTTACAAGTAAATTGATAATAAGTGCATTAGCAACATTATATAATTTCAGTTTAAGAGCTTCCAATGATTGGAGAGACCAAGTCGTTCCAAGTCAGCAAGTTAACCACCGTGAACTTGTTTAGATTGACATTGTACACTTCCAGAACTTTTAGCTGCCTATGGAAGCTACATGTTACATCAGTGTGAATCTATAGAACACACTGTTCTGTTGTGTAGTTTCCACATGACAAGGCTTTGTTGTAGAGGGCGGATAAAGAACCACGTCGTGTTAAGTCAGGTCTCTAGGGAATCTTAGGACCCAGGCCAGCAGATGTACATAATTGTCAGAAAAGCTATTTATTTCCAAACAGTAAAATACTGTATTTGAGCAAAGGAACTTGAACTCTATTGAAAATGTATCACATCTTATAAAAGGCAAACATCTGTAACACTGATCTAAACATTTTTGAAACATCAGCAAATGTGACTGTTAGGTGCTAAGAAGGGCTGATCGATGATGGCAAAGCTCACTCAGCATTTCCATTCCAGAAGCCTTTGCTCATGCTGTAACTGAGACAAGACAAAAGGGGGGAGGCAGGTTGAAGAGTAGTAAGTGTGTTGATAATAGTCTCCTCGATATTGATGTCCATTAGATAAGTATACAGCACCCTGAGCCTCTCAATCCCCCAACGTGCAGATTTGCGCGCACGTACACATATCACCCCGATCCCTTTCGCTTCCCACAGCGATGAATCTAAGATTCCCAGCATTTAGCATTGATTATTAATGGAAGGTTTGCAATGAAAAGGGGGGCAGAAACTGAGCTGCTCTTTGCACACTGGTGAGAAACCAGGGGGTTCATGGCCAGTCCTCTTCCCAGAAACCCTTCTGATGGAAAGTGCCGGGCTTACGTAAGGACTTTCTGCTCAGTGTTGTGCTGTCTGAGGGCCACGGCAACTTTTGAGGACAATGACTATGCCTTTTTTCCCCCCAGAAATTGAGTCTTGACATTGGTCTTAGCAGCTATAAGGGACACTGAGTGATGGGATGTATTTTAAGAGCACAGGGGGAATGGATTTGTGGTTTTGTGTTACAGTGAGCACCAGAACTACAATTCAAGCCTCATCATATTATGTAATATTTTCTTAATATTTTACATCGATACAAATGTTAAGGTCATCAACATATCATTGGGTGGTTGAAACATAATGGAAACTATACATTAATAGAGGTGGGGTCCAAAATAAGAGGCTCCATCTGTAAGCAAGAGCATGTCAAAAGTAACACTGCCTCTCATTGTTTTGGGTGTAAAAAACAATTCTCATTCCAAAACTCGCCTTGTGTGTGTGTGCAATGTGTGAAATTGTTGTGAATTATAGTATGAAAACGGTTTGTATTGAGGATAATTAAAGATATGTCGAACAAACATGTACATACAGTACGACCCCCAACAACAAAACATATTTAATTTTTCGTGAAAGTAAAAGAAAGAAGTTGACACCTTGAAATCGAGGAAATATGACAGTAGTTCAGGAATTTACAAAGTAGTTATGTAGTCAAAATAGCTAAACTAGCTAAAAATCTAAAATTCTTTGTGGTTTTGAATAGTGAAAACAAAACGGCAGGTGAGATCGTACCATTAAAACAAAAGGCTAATGTGTTCAAATATTTTTTTGCTAAATCATCCAGGAGTCAGCCCTTAAGGGAGCACTACTGCTATTAACACCTATCTGTCTTCATCCCATCACCTACAACAATAGCCTTAAACTGGTACGCGATAGAGATCCAGATGCTATTTGATAGTTTAATCGAAAACTGAGTCATGAGACATGTTTTCCCCCGGTTCGTTTTTGTACTCATCTTCCTCTGCCCTCTTCTTTCCCTGCGGACCTAAATGTGCGTCAGCAAGTTGCTGAGCGCACCGGCCCGACCTGCTATCACTTCATCAGCTCCTGTCTCTATTCCTCTTTAAAAGAATATCAAAGAGGAGAAGTCACACATTGGTATTAGATATTTTCTTTGACTTTGCGAGATTTGGTGTCTATGGATAGTCTTAAAATGTCGTTTCAGAGGCTTTCTATCCTGCCCAAAGTAGAATTCAGCATTAAACACTCCTTATGCATTCAAGATGAACAACTTAGAACTCATCTATTCATTATTTGCTCTGTGCCATTGCTGAGTCACATGGAGCTTATTTGAGGCAGAAGTTTCTGTGTTTAGCAGGCATACGTTTGCGAGCAGATGAGGATGTGGGCTTTCTCCCGTTGGGTCTTCCGTGTCCCTTGACTGACTCAAACCTAGTGAGCAAAAATATCCACATGCCTGCGTCTTCTCCACAGCCTGAGGGAACATAATAATGCCTTAGCTAATCCGATTAACATTAACAATTCCACAGGGGGAATCGCTGCACATCTGCAGCGGACAGATAATTATTTCGCCTCAGATGTTTGTTTCTTTTTTGTTTCTGTTTTGCCGTCTCTTATGTCTTTGGAAGACCATCTGTGTTTTTTACTGTGGACTTGGATAGACAACATTGCAGTGTGATTTTTCTGTAGCAAACATGGGTGAATGCTCTCCTTGTCTCAAGGGCAAGCTTTGTATGATGTTAGGCTCTGATGATTGTTTTTTTGAGTTATGCCAAGGATGGTTATAAACAACAATGCAATTCACTGTTCCATCTTGTTTTAATTATTAAGGTCAAAGCAATGTATTATTTTTTATGTATCAGGTCTGAATAGCTTGACAAAGGCAGTGAATAAATGATACAGAAAAATAAACTATGAGCCAAGCGCTTCCTAGATTCCAAAGAAGGACAGATGAAACAACCAATGTATTTTTGTAATGCTTTTTGCATTACGTCAATGATTAGAGAGCCGTCCACTGAGAGAAGAATCAGCCACTTCCCACAACTATGTATTTCTCCAGGAATAGAGGGCCCACCATATTTGTATTTTAGGCTTCTACTCTGACATTTTGAAATGCTTCAATGCTCAAAAAGTGCTTTATTGTTCTCATACTGCCTGTGCTGCACAAGGCTTTTCACCCTCAGTCTGAGACCAGAGCCCAGTCTGCTCTGATTGGTCAACTGCTTAGATTTGTCCCACCCTTTACAATGTGTTTGGCAGTAGCCAATAGAAGTCACTATTTTATGGAAGTTAAAAAATGATTAAAATGGAGGAGTTTCAGGAAGGGGGGAGTGTGTCAGAAACTCCCTCTGGGGGTAACCTTTAGCGTTTTTAGGATTTTAGCCTTTGTAGACCATTGACATGCACACTTTTTTGGTAATTGATTTTTTTATATAACTGGAATGTGGCCGCCAATAATTCAAGCTATTTATTCTGTCTTGAAATACATAAATCATTCTGAAATGGTTCATTAGTAAATAATGTGAAGGAGCTACGCTCTCAATTACGGGGACTCCAGCTAGGAATGGCTGAGGTACAACACACTACAAAAAAGGGCAACCCCCCCCAAAAGCACAAAGGGCCCCCTTTAACTTTGTCTCTGTCCCATTACAGGTTGGGATTCTCTACTTCCAGCCAAGTGTTTTCCGCTGCATCCTGCTGCGATGGGTCCGCCTGCTGGGTTTTGCTACCGTCTACGGGACACTGACTCTTAAGTTGTACAGGTAACACACTTCCATTAGACACACATCTACACAAAACCATTTGTCCAACGTCGTTATCCATCCCAGGAAATCGGATTACATTGACCTCTTTAAGTGCAATTACATTGTGTCTTAACTCCTTATAAAAGGACTTATGAAGTGTCGAGGCAGCATGTTCCTCGTCTAATTCATCACCGGACTACACTGCTGCACATGTTTAGGGGGAGGATTCACTGCCTCATTAGGTGGAAGAGGGAAATGCCAAGCAAAAGTAATTAAGAAGACATGGGGTGCTGTGGCCCCAAATTATCTCATATATAACGCAGAACTGAATGATAGTTGGCAAGAGACAAACGAGAAACAAATGTGTGTGAGATCAGAGGAAGGGAAAGCACAGCTGGAGGAGGGAGAGACGAGAGAGCGGGGTATTCAGCACTGATAGTTGATAATGAGACAGGGGGTCCGCTGTATTTAAAGTAAAGCACTTGAAATTGTTCATCTGAGGGGCGAATCTGTCAGGTGAATCTGTCAAAAAAAAGGCTAATGAAGATGCGGATTAAGAGGATGTGGCTAATGCGAGCCCAGTAAACCCTTAGAGGTGGAAGTTAACATATTGCACAGATCAATTTTTTATGGGCGGCTCATTAGTGGTGAGCGCAGTGGACACTTCATCAATGTGTGTGAAGGGCACAGCCTAAGAATAGCAATGGCTGGTCATGTGTTGAGCACAGTTTAATTCAGAGTCACAGTCCTTGTGTTTGTCTGCAGATTTAAATCTCCACACTGTTGTGTTATATCAAATATATTATCATGTACTTGTGGGCTTATTTCTCCATTGTTAAGGTCTAGTTAAATATATACATTTGACATAAGATATTTCCATTTACCTCTTTTCACCATCTGTCTATAACGAGGGCCCATTCAGCTCTGATTGGTTAACTGGCCTGCTCTGTTGTGATTGGTCAACCGCTAAGCGATGTCCATCCCCTAAGCATATAGTGATGTCACTATGTTACAGATGTAAACAAAAGATTCCAATCGAGGCGTTTCAGGCAGCGGGGAGTGTCTGTGGAAAATAAACTCCCTCTGCGTGAATTTGGAAATACTGGAAAGGGAAAACTCCAAAGTCATAATAGGGCCCATTTAATACAATCACCCATATGAGGTTTGCCTAATCTGCTAGCCATTTGCCAGATACTATTATTTCAATAGAATCCTGATCAACATTGTTAAATATAGTTCCTTTGCCAGCGTCATTATAACATTTAGTTTTTGAGCCTTCTCTTCCAGTGTAAATTAAAGAAGACAATTTGAAATTACGCTATGAAGGTAGCTAACCTTTTTTTTGCACCAAATGAATTCCAAACCTTGTGTTATCTTACATATAAATGATTACCCGCGATAGTTGTAAAAAAGAATTATTGACTATTTTTTTCCTCATCCTTCAGAAGTCCTTTAGTCTTGAGACACATTTCGTTGATAGTAAAGCCACAAGAGGTCCTGTCATTTTAAGTTTTGGAGCAAAATAAAAAATGACCGTCTCTTTGGTTTCAAGCTCTTGCAAACAAATTTCAGGGGTTTCTCTTTGCTAGAGATAAGGCGTTTTACATGTTCAACAACTGTATGATGAGATGTTTCATATACAGCAAAAACCCTGATGTACAGTACACAAGAAAATAAAATGTGCCTTTCAGAAAGTTGTGTCATTCTGTCTTTCATATGATTCTATGTGTAAATGTTATTTTGTTGTAATGTTCTTAAAGTGAGCATCTCATCACCCCCCCCCCACCCCCCACCCCTTTAGGGTGTTGAAGGTGTTCCTGTCCCGTACTGCTCAGAGGATCCCCTACATGACCAGCTGGCGAGTGTTGCGTCTGCTGGGCATCATCCTACTCATCGTCTGTTGGTTCCTGGTGGCTTGGACATCTGCTGTCTGTCAGAACCCGGACAGGAAGTTGGCTCTCATCGACGTGGGCTACACGCCCGATGGGCTGCAGTTCAGCATGTGCCTGCTGGATCGCTGGGACTACATGATGGCTGTCGGTAAGCCCTGCTACAGTACTGACCTCTGCCTCCACAGGGTGATGTACATTGATTTATGGAACACTGAACTCTGTGTGTTAGGGGCAAAGTGAGAAGACAAGGGTTATTCGCAGGATTCATGGCATAAAATCAGGAGGCAATTTGTTTGGTGTGATAGCATTTGGAGGTCAAAGAAAGTCAGAGGTGGGAAGTAGTGGAGTACTGTACTTAAGTACATTTTTCTGGTACCAGTACTTTACCCCACTAGTTATTTTTCTGACGGCTTTTTACTTTTACTTCTTACATTTTTAACACAAATACCTGTACTTTTACTTCTTACATTTTCAAAACAGGCTTGTTACTTTAGTTTTTAATCTGCGTTTGGTGGCGTTATCATTATTAGATTCATTGCGTGCGACCAATGAAAACGTTGTAATTTTGCCGTTGTTCAGCATCAAAACATTCATTAGCTAACAATGACATTATTGTTGTATTAATATAAAGTGAGGTCAGTTACTCTATAAAACAGATGGTAGTTATGGGTACATTTTTACTTAAAGTGGACCTATTATGCTATATTTGAAAAATATATTGTAGGGCCATACCTATACAAAACATGTCTGAAGTTTTTTGCTTAAAATACCAAACATATCACCCATTGTAGCCATGCCTCATACTGCTCATACCCCTCTATTACAGCCCTGTTCCAAACAGGCTGATTCTGCTTTAAATGGAATGGCTACTGCTAGCCACGCCCCTTTGTAGCATCATGCAGTTTACCCCTGCTAAGAGAGTTTTCTACCGGGAGAAACTCAGCTAAACGCTGCGGTGATTAAATGCCATATTATGCTCCCAACCACTTCAAGCATTATTTCTGAAACAGTATGGAGCTCAAACCTTTCTCTCTCGCAGGATTTACCACAAGGATATTACGTTACACATAATCTCTCCAGTAGCCTACAGCGTTAGCTCCATGGTTAGCTCTGAGTGTTAGCATGCTTGCTAATGTAAACACAGAGCATATTACTCCCAAAACACGCCACGCATTGTTTCTGATACAGCACATAGTTTAACATGTTCTTTCTTAAGTGTTTACCGCTAGAACAGTGCCATTATATGTATTATAACAACTTTACTCTAAGTGCCTCCTGCAGACATCCTGCTGAATACACAGACACACAGCTGCGAGAGGGGATTCAGCTAGGAGATGATAGGTTGGGATGTGTCACGTGTGCCGGAGACGATAGGTTGGGACGTGTCACGTGTGCCGGAGATGATAGGTTGGGACGTGTCACGTGTGCCGGAGATGATAGGTTGGGACGTGTCACGTCGGCCGGATGTCGCCAATGACGTAATAGGAGCGAAGATTCTGGATCTGCTTGTTAGCACCCCCTTTTTTTAATTTTTTTTAGAGATGTGGGTACGGATGAAAAGAGAGGGTTTTGTTTTCTGACACTTTGTGAGTTCCCTGACACACCGGGGACACATATTTATGTATAAAAGACATCAAAAAGTGCATTTTGCATAATAGGTCCCCTTTAAGTACATTTCGAAGCCCATACTTCTTTACTTTTACTTGAGTAAAGAAGTTTAGTCAGTACTTTACTTTTACTAGAGTAATTTTAAACACGAGTATCTGTACTTCTACTTGAGTAAAGGATGTGTTTACTTTTGCCATCTCTGAAGAATGAGGAAGATAGGTTGGGTGGGAAAAACAGTTTGTCTCCATTTACATGAGTGAAATGCTCATTTGTTTTCCAAAAGTAGACATTATTCCTCTCAGACAGGGCTTCATTTTTGGACATATTCCTGTTGTGCATGTAGCAGAGGGCAACCAGCAGCCTATAAAGGTAGCTGAGAAATCAAACAATCTCAGAGGGGGGGGCAGATCTTGCCTTGAGGAAATCGGCATGCTGTTTTACATCTGCTGACTCAGGCTTGAATGAGTCAGAACCATGGTCTTTTCTACTTCAGGGAAAACAGATGGACCTCCAGCAGAGTCAACACGCTGTGATACTGTATACTGAATGCACATTTCATTTGGATTATAAGTGGGTAAAAATAGGGAGGCGCGAGTCAGCTCTGACGTCACCTACATAGTGTAAGGCTCATAAATTGAAAGCACACACACCACTCGCATGCAATTACAATAGAAAACTACCTTCATTCCAATCAGGATTTATTATTTAGCCAAAGCAATCATATATAAACTGCAGTTTCAGCATCACAGAGGTGTTTGTTAAAATCTGGAATATTAGATAGCATTTTAATTACATTTCTCTCAAATTCTTGCAGACTCTACAGCATTGTTTTATATATGCACTGTGAAGTTTCCTTTTGGTCAAGTTGTTTATTCTTTGTACAATAATGTAATAAGGCACCATTCATTAAGGCATGTTTCCCTTATTGGAAAGATGATAATGAAGGAGGAAAGAGAGATTTCTTCTCTTTCTTTTAAAAATTCTGAATCTGTAACCCATATTGGCAGACACACTGCAGATCTCCTTTCATTCAATTTTGATATTTTGTCCCTCTCATGCCGTCACAAATAACACATTACATGTCATCTAATGCTATCTATTGTTCCTGTTGTGAGGAATAATGTTTGTGTGAATCATTCCCAGTAGTTCAAGCACACAACACAATAAATGTGAAAATAATGGCAACAGGTTTTCATGGAAAAAGCTCTGTGTTTATTGCTGTGGAGTTTGCTACCTAGGTGACATTACATGGGGTTGCCATGGAGGTGCATAGGGATTCATTTATTGTCCAGAGAATACATCCACAGCTGTTACAAATGAGTATGATAGCCTTTGTTAACCGGGCCTTTTCTTACCTGTGTTGTACAACAGCTTGCACTAGCTCAATGAGAGCACTGTGAAGTGGCTGATTCGTTGTTGTATGTTACTTTATTTGTGGGTCAAATGCATTAAATGTATTTTTTTCAATGTGTTCACGACATATTTTCTATCTTGCTTTACAGCTGAGTTCCTCTTCCTGCTGTGGGCCGTCTATCTGGTGTTACGCTGTGAGGACGGTTGCCCTCTGCATTCCACGAACCTCGCTACATGGCCATCGCTGTTCACAACGAACTTGTCCTGACGGCAATATTCTATGTCATCAGGTGAGAATTCTTCCTCTCTGTCATTTAGATTTTCTTAGCGGATATATGTGGTGGCATGAATATAAGATAGGTATCTTAAAATCTATCTCTACAGTATCTATCTAAAAAAAACATTACATTCATTTGAATTCCTGGCATATCTTTATATTCTGGTGCGGTGATCCCCGCCCCTCTAGGATAAGAGGAAGATAAAACAACCATTATCACTAACCAAAGCCTCTTCATCAACATACAGATGCTGTACTTACATTCACAAACATGTTCCACATTTACTAGCTCCATATTTTATATTATAGTCTTTGATTACCCTCCACTGCTGTCATTTTGACCATTTATGTCCTCCAGTAGATGTCTAATTCCATCACATGCGGGCTACCGCTCGACCCCTCTGTTCATCTAGGATTTTTTTTATTATTGTGGTGAAATCTCCCCCCTCCCTCCAGTGTACACGTCAAACAGCTGCACCGTGCAGTTTATTTAAATTAGACGTTTTAGCTGACACCACCACAGCCATCCTAGCTGGAGTCCCCCTAATTGAGAGCTTAGCTCCATCACATTATTCACTAATGAACCATTTCAGAATGATTATGTATTCAAGACAGAATAAATAGCTTCAATTATTGTCAGCCACATTCCAGTTATAAAAATAAAATCAATTACCAAGAAGTGTGCATCATTGACGTATATTTGACAGTTTCTCTGGAGAAATCTGAGACTTTTTAACAGTTTTGATGGTATTTAAACATCTGGCTCTTTGTGATTATTTTTGCCAACCTCTTTAATCGGCCACTACAGCCTTGTTGTGAGGCTTGCTATGCGGAAAATGGCCCAATAAGACCCCTTATAAATTGGAAAGTGCCTGGTTGCTAGTCTGCGAGCAGACAGCATGCCAAATTATGAAATCCTCATCTGCACCGAAACTCCTTACAAAACATGAATGAGGGATGACTTCAAAGCTTTTGGACATTTCATCTGCTGGACCTTTGCCTTCATTCATGCCTCACAGCTATTACCACATTACTGTTTGTTAATTAGCCATTTACCAACTAACCACTGTAATGATAATGCTAGATGACATTTGCTTGGAGAGAAGCACTCTGGTGGTATATGGAATCATTATCCGACAGGACATACCTTCATGTCTTTGCCGTGCATGTGGTATCACAGTGCAGAAAGCCTGTTCTAAATAAAAGGCTGACTATTATTTCTTCCGTGTTATTGTCTCATTTTACACCAACTGCTGCAACACAGTCAGCCCAGTGTCTTATTGTCTAAAAATTGTTGAATCTTGTGACCAGATCAAGGTCATTCCCCCTTATTGTGAAACCAATTTCGAAAACACATTAGACTGCTGGTCTCCGTCTCTGCCGGCTCCATCTGTATCTAAGAGGTTTACTTCAGACACAGTAACGAGTATGAATATCATAGCATAATTTAGTTATTCTTGACTGCCTTTAGTGTATGTACATTTAGAATTTGACAAGGCACTCTTGTATAGATGTTAAAGATCTGTTTAATAACAAGACTAGTGCCCTGGAACAACAGATATTAAACTAATAATGAACACTAGGAATTCGAGCAGCTTGATTGATGAATCTGCATGCATTATCATTATTATGAATACTTTACTATTACTAATAGTAATTGCATGTACAGCCAGTCAAATCAATTGGCTATATGTCTGGGTATCACTGCTCTTGAATTCATATTAAACTAGATTCATTCTCTCCCTCTTGTCTGTTTCTCACATCCTGAATATCTTTCCTCTTTGTTTCATTTGACAGGTTCACTCTAGCTCCAGAGCTCCATCCAGACTGGATGCTGTTACTGTTCTTCACCCACACACACTTAACTGTTACAGTAACACCTGGGTCTGCTACTCATCCCAAAGGTAATCATCACATTTAAAAATGTATCATTCTTACCTTACATGTCTTTTTATTAACTGTTTTTGTTTTAATCCAGTTCAAGGATCAAGCTCAAAAGAGATTGTATTTTACATTCTTGTCAACAAACCTTATGAAAAGAGCAAAACTACCAATGAATTGTTATGATCCAAGTACGTTTTGTCTGTGTATCTGAAGCCTGATATATATTGTACATGTCTGTGGCATAGACCTTTATTGTTATCCAAAACACCTCACTGAGCCACACACAAGGTGACATTCCCAGCTGTTTTAGGAAACTATTTTGCCTTTTTATTGAATGAAGCTGTATATGTGAGACACATTTTAAAGATTTTCCGTAGTTACCAATGGATTTGGGTTGGGAAGAGAAATGCTGGGAAAGTCAGGAGGAATTGAGAAGCAAACTAAAACATTGATGGCTCTGAACTTTCAAAAGATTTGTTGACAACTAGAATGAGTGTTACAAACAATGCTGTTCCTCTTTATGCCACTCCATCAGTTCCTGTTTGCTGGCACCCAGATGAGAGATGATATAGCCTCCGAGGCGTATGAGGACGAGCTGGACATGGGTCGTTCGGGGTCGTATCTGAACAGTAGCATAACATCGGCATGGAGCGAACACAGTCTTGATCCTGAAGACATCCGGGTATGAAGTGCTTCCTTTAACCTTTCATTCTCCATTGTATAACCTGGTGACAACTTTTCCAGAAATACTGAGCAATGGTAGTTTTTTATTGCAGACACCAGACGAAATGGGCCATCTCAGTTCTATTAATGGCTGTGGCGTAAGGTCTTGCGACAGTCATTGGGAAAAACGTACCAACGTGAGCAGAGATTTCTGTTTGTCTGTTAGAGCTGAAGAAGTCTCTCTACCAAAAGATTTAGGCAAGCCAATTCAGCAGAAGGCATTCATTGTGTCAGATCGAAATACAGACAGAAATACCATAAAATAAAGACCTGAGCTTTGAGGCTGTTTCAGACCTAACATTAAAACACTCCGTTTCCTTATTTGATGCTGTCCGAAAACTGTCCTGTCTTTGCTTTTTATCAGCACGCATGTGATATTCCGTAGTATATAATTTAACCGTTTTTAGTCAAGTCTCCTGAATTTGTACTGCATGTCTCTGTGCAGTAGAATGCTTTTTTGTAACAGTGCTTTGATTAGAAATATCTATTTTTGAATGAATGCACTTCTTTGCAATCTAAACTGCCAACTAATCACCTTGTTTCTGTCTTTCCCCCCTTGATTTGTTCTAAATATGTAGGAGGAGTTGAAGAAACTCTACTCCCAGCTGGAGATTTACAAGAGGAAAAAGATGCTAGCAAACAACCCTCATCTCCAGAAGAAGCGTAGTTCCAAAAAAGGGTTGGGGTCGTTCGCTGATGAGACGCATAACTGAGATTCCGGAATCGGTGCACCGGCAGTGCAGCCGTGAAGACAAGGATGCTGGAGAACATGGGAGCAACCGTAACAGCATTTGCATGTTGAAGAAGAACCCTTTTGATCAGACTCACCCAGGAAAGCCGGCAAAGGAGGAGACGCTTAAGAACAAGGTTTTCTCCCTCAAGAAGTCCCACAGCAGTTACGACCATGTCCGTGACCAGAGTGAAGACTCCAGCAGCTCAGCAACAGACAAGATGGAGGTTACTCCGGCTGAAGGCTCTCTCCTGGACACACTTATGGGCAAGAAGCTGGTCAAGAAGATGTCCAGTGAGAATGTAGGGGTCACCAGTGAATCTACAGAATCGGTTCCTTTGGTCTGCAAGTCAGCTAGCGCCCATAACCTCAGCGCAGACAAGAAACCGATTCATCCCAGAGCCTCCATGCTTCAGAAGTCCCTCAGTGTCATCGCCAGTGCCAAAGAGAAGACTTTGGGCTTGACAGGAAAGACCCAGAGCGCCGAGGACAGCAATAAGAAGAGTCAGCCAAAGAGCAAAGAGACGAGGGCCAATGCAGAGCCGGAAAATGAATTCCAACCCAAGATGATTATGAGCCAGTCAGTTGAGTGCAAACAGACTGCGTCATTGGGCAGGATCATGAAACAGCCAGTGAGCGGTAGCCAGCCTACAATCTGTTCTGATCCAATCACGGGAAAAGACCTCTATGATCTCTCAGAGGTTTGTCCCTGGGAACTGGAGGATCTCCCAACGCCGTCTGAAAACAAGGTCCAAAAGCATGTATCCATCGCGCCAGATGAAACCACAACTGTTCACGGAGGGTAGCACCAAGGGAGGAAAATCTCAGCAGCAGAAACAGAAAGCTTCTGATCAACCTCCATCGAGTGGCAGTCATTCAAAGGAAATTCCAAAGACCACCGCGGTACGAGCAGAGATATGTCCATGGGAAGATGGAGGTGAAAGTCAAGGTGGTCAAGTGGAATGCTCAAATCCACAAACAAACAGTCAGGCAAGCAAACTTGCTCAGACCCAACCGCCTCATTCAACAGAGAGTTCCAAAACACATCGGGTAGACGTTTGTCCATGGGACTTTGAAGAGGCCCAAAAGAAAACTGAGTCAGCTTTTTTCTCCAGATGTAACAACACAAAGAAAAGGCACCTCCCCTGTGGAAGGTAAAAGAAGAAGTACTCTTTTAGATCCATCCAAACCAGGAGACTCGCTGCAGCCACTATCTGCAAAAGGAGATGTCTGTCCCTGGGACTATGAAAGCACTGCAGTATCTCCAAGTTCTGAGAGGACACCCAGTCCCTCTCAAGCATCCAAAACCAAGGAATCCCCATCAAAAAGAAGGGTACCCCTTCCACAAGAACAGTTGAGAAAGAGAAATCAAAAGACGCTGATATTGAGAAAAGTAGAACAAAAGCTAAGGACAAGAGTAAATCTTCAGAGAAACAAATAAGCCAACAAAAAATGGCTGCGGTATGCCCATGGGATGTGGAGAGTCATCAGGATGTTCCGGCGGTAGAAAAAAGGCAGAGTGCAAATGTAGGGACGGCCAAAGCAAAGCCAGCTGAAGTCTGTCCATGGGATTTTGAGGCTTCATTAGATCAAAAAGATACAGACAAAAGTGCTTCTCCCGTGAAACAGAGCAATCCCACTCCTAAAGGCGGTGTTGTAAGTGCTCAAAAGGCAGACGTTTGTCCCTGGGACTTTGACGATAGCACATCAAGCAAGAAGGCATGACCTTAATGGACTATTGAAATTATAGTTATTGATGTATACTTTTTTCACTCTGAAATTGTTCAATATAATCTTTTATTATAAGTGCGGTGACTTGGAAGAAAAGTTCAAGATCAAGTTCCACGAGTTGCCTTCCTTTATGAGTTTTTTTCCTGTTTTACCTATTTTGAAAATAAGTAAAATGTAAAAAAACAATAAAGTCATGACAAGCATTCCAGATGATTACAGGAAGATCCTGAGGATAAATCTTAGACTAATTATGCAACTTTTGATTCAGCCTTTTCACTTCATTAGCAATGTTGAAAATCTGCATATATCATGTTCTCTATTCGGTCAACAATTATTGGTGGTTGTTTTGTGCATTCTCATCATCACTTATTGGACTAAGATATGACATGATCTGTAGGGGGAAAAGAAGTATGAAATGAAGGTTGATGTACAAAACAGCAAAAGTGAAAGCCAAAGAATAAGGAAACAATTGCAAAGAGCGTTATTGGTCTGTCGGCGATAAAGTTAAATTATTATTTTGTGTCCACTCCTTGGCACAGAGGGAGGGACTCCCAGTATATAAAACAGTATATAGCACTTTAGCCAACCTAAATTGAGAACTGAAGGCGGACTCTGTTCTTTTTGTACATTTTGTCTTCTTATTTTCAACTTCATGGCATGATGTCACATACCGACCAAACTTAGTTTTTGTTTAGATCTATTTAATTGTAGTTCTCAGCAGATTAAATTGCTTCCAAGTCTGCAGAGATGTACTGTATGTGCCTAACTAACTAGCATTGTCTTGTATCAGTCTGAAGCGAAGCAAAATACTTCTTCTTCAGCACTTTGTGACGGTGAATTATATAAACAGCATGCACAGCCAAGTGTTGAGACTAGTTGGACCCTTCTGGTTTGTCAACTAAAGCAGTTTATATGTTGAGAAATATATAATGTTTGTTTTTTTAATATATACCAGAGGCACTTCTTTTACTGCTTTCATATTTCCAGACGCTCATTCAGGATGGTGGAGATTATATGAGAGCAGCATTAACATGAATGTGTGTCAAAATGGCTCATATGTACACTGTAAAAAGTAGGGATAGAAATACTGGGGCAATACTGAGGGAACAATTTGCACCAGCTTTGTTTATGAATCCAGCATGGATCCTTTTGTTGGCTTGAACCAAGTATGTGTGGTTGTGTGTGGACACAATATCATGAATTTAAAGTGTAAATGTAATTCTGTAGCTGAACCTCTGATGTCTGACAAGAAGAAGCTTTAACTCACTAAAAACCCAAAAATGAAATGGTTTCTCTAAACGGTAATTAACATATTTTACCATTTACCAACCAGGGCAAGTAAAGCTACTGCTTTGAAGGGTAATAGTGGTTTATTATAACTTGGGTTTTATTTTCCTAATTATGGCCATCATTCCAACCAAACATTTTGAGACCTGGAACCAAAGCAACAACACTAAAACAAAGTTTTATGTGGGCATGAATACAAACAAAGGCTAACAATAAAATACACTTATATCCAACCTTTTGTTTACCGACCGACTTTCTGGTTAGAATTTGAGCTACCATTTTGACCGTAGTTGTGTGTGCATACAGCCAATGGGACTTCAGTGATGTAGCCTTGTTTCCAGATTTTAGCTTTTACTTTGTCATAATTACCAAAATAAAACCCAATCTTTTGGAGATCAAAACTATCCTTTGATATTTTAGGATAAAATATTACTATACGACCATTATACAATGGCGATAACAAGCACTACACTGCCATCACTTTTTTATTTGCATTTCTGTACGGAAATTGAATGCATGCTCTTCCCAGTTTAATTCAGGTTTGTTGATTAGTTGAGATTACCTTTTAGAATTAGGTTTAGCAATGCGACATCAACTAATAATCTGACTAAACCTTTGAGGATTTTAATTTGTTTAATGTTTTGTATCAAAATGTCTAAATATTCATCACGCACTATCCACGTGAAAAAAAGAATCTCCCACTTAAATTTAAAATGACCGTTGAACACTTGCTAATAATTGCTACCTTGCAAAAAAACATATATCAATAGCATCCACGGTACTTTATGGTATTTTGTGAGAAATACATGGTAACACTGAATGTTGTCACTGATTGTAATTATCTATAATTGCTGTCAAATTCCTTAATATCCAAGCTCTGTAGTATTGTGATTCAAAAAACAAGTCATATTTGACAAAACATACTGTAGGTCTTCAATTGCTTCATTTCTTTGGCACTAACAAAAAATAGAACAGTGAAAATTATATTTTTGAATCTAATTTTGTTCTACAGCTTGCCTCTATCAACATGATGTAGATGCTACGACATACATCTCTGAAAAATTACCCATTGACCTATTGGGGTGTCATCTGAAATATTTGAAATGTGTAGTGTTTGCCTTACAGCGTGAGATTTGTCACCCCCCCTTGCTTTATGAGCTCCTATAGGAACGGTGTCTGAGAAGAACTGTCAACGTTGCATGGATTGATTGTAATGATTTGATGGATCTATGTGATATTTATGAGCCAGATGTTACGCGTCATCCATCATATGCATTGTGGTAGTAGATGCAGGGCCGCATTGGATTTTTACTGCCCTGGTGATGGACAATATGCTGTATATTTTTATCCTTGTAGGAAAGCTATTTGAAATGAGAAGATGTGTTTATTTCTTGATATTCATTTTGAGGACGACTTCAAATGAGCTCAAACAGGCTTTAAAACAACTGTGATTTTCATGAAATTCTAATATTTGTTGGTAATTTGTATAACGACAAAAGAAGGTCTTTTTTTCTCCATTTAAAAAATGTACTTTTCAAGGCATTTATTGATTAACTTTACACACTGAGCCCATGAGATTTCCAGATTAGAGCTGGAGCACAGAAGAAACATAATAACACTTGTACTGTCTTAGATCAGAAGATAATAATATCACAATATCCAACAATTTCACCGTGTAATACATCATATTACAATCAGTCTTCTTTGTTGTCCCATTTACATAATTCCAGTATGCTTCCTTGAGCATTCCTCAGTTCAGTCAGTCTATGTATACTTACTTGTGTATACATAACCAGTGTACGTTACTCTGGAAATTATCGTTGTCTTTTGGCTGTATCATATGAATCCTTGAAAGTATGAACCTCAAATGGAGCCATTTGTCTTGTACCATCTTAAGATGGACGACACTGTGTCCTGTAGCTCTTTGTCCACCAATCAGATCCTTTACCATTGTTGGCTAGCTGATTTCATTTAAACCTGACTTCTCCTCTCTTGTGACCAAACCATGTCACCCGATGGCAACACAACTACTATTGCTACTACTACTACTACTACTACTATTCAATGCTGTAACGTCGTAAATCTTGCTCTTGTGGCTTCTGCATGAATTCAAGAAAAAAAAAATAATAGGACCGATGTTTCACTGCCCTTGATAGAACAAAAAAGAAAAAAATTGATCTTTTATGGACTGTTACAAGTTGTATAGTGAGTGATACTGTCCCTAACCCACTGTATTATGTGCTTGTTATAACTATTGCTCTATGACAAGCTTATAGCATCAATATATGGGAACATTTGGTAGATTTATATTGTGTTATATTGTGATAGCATGTACATAAAAGATACCTCCTCTGCAATAAATATTTATATGAAAATTAAGCGTGTGCTCAATGTGTTTCTGAATCTTCTACTGCACTTCAAGATCATATACAATCCTTTGTCCACGTCCCTATTCCCGAGGGAAGTTGATACAAGACACTCCCATGATGCATTTGTGCTTTGTAATCATCCTTGTCATCCCTTGTGTTTGCTTAGACATGCAGTTAGAGAAACCATGGCCTTTAAAAGCCTCATGCATCATGACCACTTAAGGTTATGCGCTTCTTGGCGACTGTCCTGAAATGCTTTTATGGCTTGATGTGGTTTTTTGGACAGAGATCAATGGACGCTGTGCAGGAAGCTAGAGATACAAGATGGTATCAAATGCTGACTCCAGACCCCTGCAGAAAAACTGAAGCTATTTTTCAATCCCAAAATAATGATTGGCCACGATTAAATAATGTTTCTCTCTGAGCCAAAGGGAAAAATCGTTTCTTGCTCTATTAATACTATTCAAACCTCATAAATTCTGCATAATGAGCAATACATAAAACTGACAGTGTCTACACAACTAGACTAGTGTCACAACTACTTTTGTCTCTATGAATAGGGCTGTGATGCAGCCAAATAACATTGCAAAATATTATTTTGAAAAGCAAACATGTTAGCATTGATTCCTGTTTACAAGAGCACTTTCGGAGCCGTTGAAATAGATAGAAGATCAATGCAGGCTGCTGCATGGAACTAAAATAGAGAAAACGTCAGAGAAGAAAACACATGAGAAATAACCTGTGACGGGCAGATACGGAAACTATTGATGTTCCATTTGATATTCATTACAGTTAAAAAAGCAGACTTTCCATAAAGAAATATATGACGTTAAAGTAACTATAAAACATACACTTTGTTTTACAATAACAGGTTTTTTTAGTGATTAAACTAAGAGAACAATCAGCTGAGTCAGTCAGAGCTTTATAGTGAGTTTCAAGTAATTATTTAGCTGTCCAGCCCACAACATTGTTTTAGTTCATTCTTATTACTCTAACAGAGGTTGTTTTTAGGGAAAAAGATCATATAACCCTTCGCACACAGTCAAATGTATTTGACTGACACGGTTAGAGACTAGCTGGTAAACATTATGTTGATCACTTAGCCAGACATTTCTTTCATCTGTCCCCAAAAACCTGTTTTCAAAAAAGATGTTTAATAATAATAATAATGCATGCAATAAAGTCCTGCAAATCAAGCATTTTATAGTTAGGTGTTTTGAGTTGAAGACAGTGTCTGTGGCTGCATTTTATTCTTTCAGGAAACAAAAAAACACCATTCAATTGAAAGATACTCAATTTCTCCTAAGTAACATTCCCTGAAAGCAGTCTACCAATTGTTACTGGAACCTGCTTATGCAATTTTGGTAATATGTGTCTATCAAGCACCCTACTAAAAAAACAATCATATTAAATTCATTTATACAGAAATATGTGATAACAGGATGTTCTAAAGACAGAAATAATCCCACTGAAGCCTCAATAAGAGACCAGCCCCCTCATACACATCTTAAACTGTGCAAAAAAAGAGTCCTCTGGATCTCCTGTGGTGCATGACGGTGAGAATGGATGTTTGTGCACCTCTTTGTTGTCTTTTAGAGGACAGCGGGACACATCTTCCAGCACTAGGAAGTGCTGGACGGCGGTGGGGAGGAAGACGGACAGGAGATGAGAGGAAGCTGAGCGTTTTGGCACAAGCCAGCATGCTCAGTCGCTGACTCATCCGTCTCTCAGATGGAGGGGAGAGAGGTGGTGGTGTCGGTGGTGGTGGGATGTTGAGGACATGGCATGTGTCATGTCGGACTCATGACTCACAAATAAGGGCTGTGTGCGTGGGGGGGCACCTAGTGGGAGACG